GTTTTATTTCTAATTGTTTAAGCAACTTTAATTATATAAGGTTTATAAACATTATTTTAAACATTATGCACTTTATTTAAAAAATAGTCGTGTTATTTTATTATGCTTTGAAGAAACTTGCATAATATTTTTTTTCGATGCGCCCTCTTGTGGCCTCAGGAGAGAAGCCAAAAGCTTTTTCCCCCCTAACTGAAATTATGCCTTTTAAATTCGAATATAATTTGAATATTGATAATATTTAAGTACAAAATTCGAATTTAGTTTTTCAGCCATTTTGACAGCCCTAAAGGACATTATGTATAAACATAATGAAATACTGATGAATACCGTGAGAAAAACTTACTAAGTTTAAACCATGTGGTCAAAAATATGATGTATTAATATGATATTTTATTGACTATAACCCTGTCACAACCCCCCAGACTATCATTGAAGATTGAACCTGGGAACAGCTCACCTCGTCTGGTATCTTCCAAAGAAGACCTTGGAGGTAAAGTATTTATCCCTTCATCCTTTCGGTTTACTTTTCTCAAAAACTCCTCCTGAAAGTGGTTAACTCTACTTTTTCTACTTTTTTTTTTCTTGGAGTTATGATTACCAGTTGAAAAATGGAGGATCATCAGTAATTCGGCTAAAGTACCTCAGCTGTACCTTACTGGGGAGGTGCTGCTATTCTGCATGGACTGCAGTATGTCTGGTTAGAGAGATTCTGCAGATGTGAAAGCTGGAGGGGCAATGAAAGAGTGGGATTCATGTAACCTAGCATTTTCAGGGTGCTGTAGATCAGCCCCTCAGACGCTTGTTTAAACAGGCCGACTTTTTTTCAATTATTCCATGAGCTTATTCTTCTCAGTCTGGCAGATAAAAACCACCTGCCGTCAGTGAGTGGCTCTGGTGGAACCGTCTTTCCGGATCATTGTGGTCTTTGGTAACTTTCAGAAAGAACTTTGTAGGTTTACGTTAACTATTGACTTAAGCTTAAGCTTTTTTTCTCTTTTTCATGCATACATTGAAGTTTGTAGCCATGGTTCTTTCAAAGTATGCATAAACATCCAAAATATAAAAACACAAGTTGTGTGTAAAGGGAAAAGACAAATTTTTACTAGTACAAAAAATGTTATTACTTTATTACATTATTAATTAGTAAATTAAAAATAGATAATAAATAACCCACTAATATCCCAGTTAACATGAACAGGAATGACCTGTTTTAACATCCTTTGTGCACGTGTGATTTTTTATTTTTTTATTTTTTATTTATTTTATTTTTTTGTGGTAATGAAACAAATTTTACTCATGGATGAATGCTGAAGCAGTATAGAGTAGAAATGGGTTTTAAAAGTGTGTTTGGCTCTTGTACCTCAAGACAAGCATCTGAAGTTAATGGAGAGTTTGGATGAGATCATGGTGTATGTCAGTTCCTCTTATGAGAGGCCGAGCAATTAGGATGTTTCCTATTTCTGACTATCAGATGGTTGAGTGGGAAATTGAACTGCATTGAGCATTTTATGGTTGTAACAGCTGTGGCAGAAATGGACGAACTCGTAGAGACATCTCGGTGGAGATTGGTTATGGAAAGAGTATGATTTTTGTTTTTGTACAACTGCAGTTTTTCTGTGTAAGTTGTATGATGACATCATTGGTCTTTCTCATAGACACAGAAATCATTATTAAAATTAAGGTATATTTTTGAAATCAAGTTTAATTCACTGGAATTGTTTACATAAAATCCTCCTTCACATATTTAACTTTTTTTTGTTACAGTATATGCTGTGACAGTGTTTCTAAAACTAAGCATGCAATTTAAGATACTCTTTGGGAGACATTTCCAGGTTGCATTTATATTCTAATATTTGCAATATTTTATTTTACTTTACTTTAAAGGGGTCATATGATGCTGCTAAAAAGAACAGTATTTGGTGTATTTGGTGTAATGAAATGTGTTTATGCGGTTTAAGGTTCAAAAAACACATTATTTTCCACATACTGTACATTATTGTTTCTCCTCTATGCCCCGCCTTTCTGAAACGCGTCGATTTTTACAAAGCTCATCGGTCTGAAAAAGCGAGGTGTGCTGTGATTGGCCAGCTATCCAGTGCGTTGTGATTGGCCGAATACCTCAAGCGTGAATTTGACTGTATATCAAATATTTATCAAGTAATTATCCACATAATTAGCAAAATAGATAATATAATAGGTGCTAGCAAGCATTTTATGGTTGTTTGTGTTGAACAGGACAGGAATGGGCTTTACGAATGCAGCTTCAGTCTACATAAGTGTTTCAATAAGCAAGGATAATCGAAGACGATTAAATAGAGACAGTATGTGAGTTTGTTTACTGCATTAACTTGTTGTGTCGTAAGTGTTTTTAGAAGTATAAATGTGTGTTTTTGTGTGTGTGTGTGTGTGTGTGTGTGTGTGTGTGTACAGGACCCTCAGAAGAGTCTGTCTCAGTGAGGTATAACCGACGACCAACCTGTCCTGATACATCAGTGGTTGCCCACCTTCCAACACCACCTCCTGCCCGACACAGGAAGAGCCACAGTCTGGGGAATAAGTAAGAATCACACTACATTATGAGAAAAGTTCGCCAATCACAACACATATAACCGCTGTTAAAAAAGTACACTTTAGCATAATTTTAAAAAGACTTAGTATACGTACTGTATAATATACGTAAGTGTGAACTGAACAGACAGTAAATTGTATGTTAATAGTAATGAAATAAAAATGTATTATAGTATAAATTTATATCAAATGCAATTTAATACAGCTGAACTGTAGTGTGCTTTATTGACACACTTAAGTAGGGCCTAAGTGCATCTTTATATAAAATTTCATAATTATTTCACTTATCTTTGAAACAAAAGAAGAAAGAAACTCATACAGATTTGGAACAATAGTAAATGACTTGTTAGTCATTTAAATATATTGTTAATTACACAGTTGTAATAATGATGTTGCAATTTAGTGCTTTGAAAATATATTAACCTCAAATGTAATATCAAATGTGCTTTAGTGTCAACACTCAAAATTAGTACTTTAAAGAATGACAAGCATAATGATATTAAATCATAAGGATTTAAAATGTACTTTAAAGGGGTCATATGATGCAATTTCAAGTTTTCCTTTCTCTTTGGAGTGTTACAAGCTGTTCGTGCATAGATAAGATCCCTAAAGTTGTAAAGACTAAAGTCTCAAACCCAAAGAGATATTCTTTATAAAAGTTAAGACTGGTCCACGCCCTCCTAAAACGCCT